ATTTTCTATCCCTAGAGCTACTGTATGTGCTGAGCCTGGGTCCATGAAGTTTGCATCTAGGCTTCTTACTGCAGGGGGGTTTTGCTTTCTTCTTCCCGGCTTTTCCCTTTTCCCAAGGGGAGGGGTTTTAAAGGGGCCCCTTGGGGTTTTCTGTTGTTGTCGGGGCTGTGAGTCTCTGTTCTCCGTGTGGGGGGGGTGTGTTTTCTCTCTGTTGTGGGGGCTCTATCTTCTACATGCCGCAACTAAGAGTTTGCATGCCACAGCTAAAAGATCCCTCATGCCATAACTAAAGACCCAGTGCAGTCAAATACATATTAAAGTTTTTTAAATTGTTTATAAAAATGAAAGATCCACCTCAGGAGTTCCCTCACACTGACTTTTCCAAAGTAAAATATACTTAGCACCTGAGATCTAATAACCTAGTATGTGTCAATGTACTTTGTAAATGTTAAGTGTTATTGGAGTAGCAGAATCTTATAAAAATACAGAACATTGTCCTTTTTAAGCTCATAATACATGAACTATTTTATCATTTTGGTCATATTAACATATATTTACAATGTGACATCAAACACTGAATCAACAGCATAATTCCAGAGGAAAAAAGAGCTTGCTACTGATACTCTCTAAAATGAAGGCAAAAAGAGTGTTTCTGACTTGAATTATTTGGACATTTGGTCCAAACCTTGGCTCAGCCAGAATAGACCTGGCTTATGAGAGTTAATTCATACCATTTGGAGGCTAAAATAGTTATAAAGCTGTTTTGGAATGTCCTAAATTGTGCCTAAGAGACCTGTTTTTGACAGATGTGTTCATGTAGTCCAGTCACTTGGCATATGGAATTTTTATGTACAAACTAGTGCAAAACTTTCAACATGTAACACTTATTAGTGCTTCTACTGGCATGGGGAGACAGATGGAATACACATTACTTGCAGAAGCAAGCTTTGCAGTTGGCCTTACAAGCCTGACTTTTCTTGGTTACTTAGGTCACTTATTTTCACCTGCCATGTACACCTCCTGCCCTGGGTCCTTATAGGAATTCTCTCCCAATTGCTTAAGATTTCCCTTCTTTCCATCCATTCCTTGGCCCAGATCCCACCGCCCCTATCTGTGCCCCCTCCAGCTGGTCCAGGGTGCGGTTTGGAGGCTGAGGTAGGGAAGAACACCCCCCAACAGCCGTTCTCAGCACACCCCACCCCCAGTGTTAGTCTTGGCAACATCCAGCCCATTTCCTCCACATCAACCCCAAGCTCCCCTTCTCTTGAAGTCTCAACTCCAGCAATGAAATGCCCAGTTGAGCAAGAGTTACAGATTAATCTTCTGTCCTAGATATTTCTAAAGAAAATTGGGGTTAGGGGAAATGTCTTCCCTTCTATGAAGTCTCTACATGAAATAGCACTAGAGAGACACTCAGGGTGGATCCTTTCTCCTCTTTCAGTCCCTACTGTTTCTCCACTGCTAGTTAGTATGCAAGCCCTTTTAAAAAACCATTGTGTGTGTGTGTGTGTGTGTGTGTGTGTGTGTTTAAAAGCTGTATCTGAGGAGGTGAAAAGCTGAGTCTGAGTTCTGTCTTCAGTTGCCCAGAGGAGTCAAGATTCTGTTCAGAAGCTACTGGCGGTGGCAGTGGCAAAGGCAGTGGGTGGGTTGGAATGCCCGGGATCCAGCCTTTGGTGGTACATCAGCACGAAACCCAACAGCCACGAGGCCTCACGCTCTAGCTCCCCAGAGGCCCACGTCCCCTCTTCTCCACTTGTGTGTCCATCTAGGTGCTCGCTGTGGTTTGTTCTAGCCTCCTCTCCCAGCCCCACGGTTTGGAGGGAGAAGTGTAAAGAAGGGGGACCCACCATTTCATTACAGTGGTGGTGGGAGAAGAGCAGGGGAGAGAGAGGATGAAATTCTAGACATATCTCCCTATAGGTTGAGTAGTACTGTTAGAATTGCCTTACACAGAAAGATTGGGCTTACTCAGTAAGCCATGGAGTGTGATAGATGGAGAATTAGCCGAGGAACCTTAGCTTTAGCACTTTAGACAACGGCACTTTAGACAAATCACTCAACTTGTGTGCTTTGCACAACATCTATTTATGTCTCTTTCTAGAAGAAAGTATATCTGCCCAACCTCCCAGGAGTGTGAGGGGTTTTAGATTTCATAGAAGAGGCAAATAATGCTTTGAAAGACATGAAGAGCCATACTGTTGGGCAGGGAGCTGCTCTCTTGCCGGCATGTGAGACAACCTGAGAGGATTAATGTGGGAGGGGAAACTGAGTATGCAGACCCACCAGCCAGTGCGAAGGTGGAATGGAGTCCCCCACACACGGCTTTGGAATCTTAGGGTCCAATGGTGCACAGTGAGCATGAACCCTAACTGAGTTAGGGTCTGAGTCCACTTACCAGGCCTAGTGGTGAAGCACCGGTGATGTCTTGCTGTTTTCATTCCACCCCTCCTCCAGGAGCTATATCAGAGCCTCCACAGAACTCTACCCTCTTCAGTACTCCCTACAGCAGAAATCATGATTGAATGCACCTATGCATTAATTTTCTTCTCTTGTATGTGATTTTAAGCCCCTGAGGTTAGGGATTAAGTCAAATTCACTTTTTATCGCACCAGTTCCTAGCACAGTGCCAGGTTAACTGTAGGTATAGGTATTGGAAAAAATATCTTCTAGAGAGATTGTTGTTGTTCATTTGCTCAATCATGTCTGACTCTTTGCGACCCCATGGACTGCAGCATGCCAGTTTCCCTGTCTCCCGCCATCTCCCGGAGTTTGCTCAAACTCATGTTCACTGAGTCAGTGATGCCATCCAACCATCTCATTCTCTGTTTTCCCCTTCTCCTCTGCCTTCAATCTTTCTCAACAGCAGGGTCTTTTTCAATGAGTTTGGCATCAGATGGCCCAAGTATTGGAGCTTCAGCTTCAGTGTCAGCCCTTCCAATTAATATTCAGGGTTTATTTCCTTTAGGATTGACTGGTTGGATCTCCTTGCAGTCCAAGGGGTTCTCAAGAGTCTTCTCTAGCACCACCGCTAGAGAGATGGACCCAGGTATTTCTAGAACAGTTAGTGGAAGAGTCAAGTTTTGACAAAATACTTGCAGAATTCATTTGGAAGAATTTAAATGTTCAATAGTGGTCAGGAAATACTTGAAAAGTATTAATGAAAAAAGATTGAACTAGCACTACCATGTATTAAAATATATAATTACAGAAATTAAACCAGTGTGCTACCATCACAAGGGTAGATCAATGGAAAAACTCTAATCCAAAACTTAGAGGAAACTAAAGTAGATGCAAAAGTTTAGTATATAATAAAGGTGATACTTTAAATCAGTGAGAAAAGTATGTATCATTAAATAAATAAGAAGTATTAGAACAACTGGCTATCCATCTGAGAGGGAGAGCTAACTTAAGAGCCTTATCCCATACCTTACAACAAAGTAGATTTCAGATGGATTAAATGTGAAAAGTGAGATATAAAAATTATACACAATAAGGTAAATATTTTTAAAATCCTAGTATGGGGAATGTCTTTCTAAGAATGACTCTGAAGGAAGAAATCATAGATTGGACCAAATAAAACCCCTATTTTAGATAAAACCAAAGTCAAGAGACAACTTGGAACACAGCATTTGCATATGTACAACAGAAGATTTATACCCTTAGTATGAACCAGGTGCCTTAGGATAGGATAGAAGCAGGATCAAAAGAGAGAAACAGATTCAAGAGGGTACTAGAAATAAGGGTGATTTCTGATGTCATCACATCTGTGTTTCCCTTCATAAATTCTTCCTTGGCCACACTTTTGATTTTTATAGAGCATCCCAAGAATCAACTCTTAAAACCCAGTGCAGGTTTATACTGGTTTCTTTTTAAAATTGTGTTCATTTTCAGTGTTTATATTCGGGAAGTGCAATGCAGTGGCAGAAACAAACTAGCCCTGTCTTTTCTGCACGATGTATGGCATGAATAACAAAGTCACCCCCAGATGTGCAGGGTAGGTTCAACTGGGAGTGTGAATCTCAGTTTATTAACTGCGGGGTTCCAGGCACATGGTTCAAGCTCTTCGAATTTGTTTCCTATATCTTTGTAGTTTTGTAAGTAGGAATAATACTCCTAATGTCCCAGTGTTGCTGTGGGGATTAAGTAAAATTGTGTACGTAAAATCCTGAGAATTAACATATGCTCAGTAGGTTTGGTTCCCTTCCTGGCCGAGAGCTCCAGGACAGGAATTACTTATTTACAGGACTCACTCCACACTTCATCTGTGGTCTGCTTCCCTTCCAAACTCACACTGCCTGAGGGCCTTGCTACCCCTCGATACAGGGTTCTTGGCAAAAAAAGGAAATTGAGCTGTTTCCTATTTTGTTGGCCTCCAGGCCGAGAGGAAGACTCTGGCTTCTGGCAAAATACTGATGGGTTCAATCCAGCAGTGCCTTCACCCAGCCGCCTAGCTGCAGAGGCTCATGTGTTGTGGCTTGCATAAAAATTAGAGAGGATGTAACCCCATCTGGTGAGGAAATGGAGAAGAGAAGATGGGCTTAGGAGCCCCAGAGAGCTTCCTAAGTATACTCTAGTCACATTGGGGGTGGCAGTGCCATCACAGAGTGTCTGCTGAGTGCAAATGGCTGGCAGAAAGTAGGAATTACCTGTGGCCCTCCTATCAAGGACACAAAACCACCTATTAAGGCCCTACAAAGAGGCCAAGGTTGCAAGCCCATACCCAGCACAGGGGTGGTGAAGGTCTGACTGCTCTCCCTCACTCTGAAATACATGGAATTACATTGCTGCTCTATTGTTGCTAGAGCCTTCCTTTTGGTAGCGTGAAAGATAGTGTGGTGAGAGTGTGTCTTTAAAAAATAGAGATGAGTCTCTGTAAGAAACAGAAGATCAAGGTCTTAATTTGTCCACTGCTGTCTTCCCATTCATCAGAATCACCTGGAAGTATTGCGGAAACAAGATCAAGAGCCACAAGCTTGAATTTCGGGCGTGGGCCCTAAGCACGTGCATTCCAGAAGCTCCCAGGGGACACTGGTGCTGCGGGTCTGGGGCTGGCTCTGAGACACGCTGCTCTAGGTAATTGTTAGGAAAGGTCTGGCCTCACTGCTAGGGCACCTGCCTTGAAGGGGCTTCCCTTGTGGCTCAGACGTTAAAGAATCTGCCTGCGATGCAGGAGACCCAGGTTCGATGCCTGGGTCAGGAATATCCCCTGGAGAAATGAACAGCACCCCATTCCAGTGTTCTTGCTGAAAAATTCCATGGACAATGGAGTCTGTCAGACACAACTGAGTGATCAACACCTCCTTGAAGACTGCTTTATTCTCGTGCTCCCACCCACACCCAGATTATTCAGACCAGTGCCCTCTAGTGTTCAAGACAAAAAATTTCCCTAGTCTCTTGTTCAAAACAAGAAGGGATTACTCAGCAGAAACGGAAGGACAGTTTATAACAGGGAGTCACTGAAGTCCAGATTAGTAGTAATCCTCAACACTGGTTAAACTTTAGAAAAACCTAGGAAATAAGGAAGGGAGGGAGGCAGCCCTCATACCCAGACTGGTTTAATTGGTTCAGGGTGGGGGCCTGGCAGGAATGTTTTAACAGGTCCCCATGTGACTAATTTGCAAACAGGGTTGAGAACTGCTAGTCTTGATCACTGGTTCTCAAGTTTGCCTGCGTAATGGAAGTACTTGGGAAATTAAAAAAATACAAACCTTGCTCCTACCTTCAAAGATTCTAATTTATAATAGGAATCAGTGACTTCTCTGGTTGTCCAGTGGTTAAGTATATACCTCCCAATGCAGGGGACACAGGTTTGATCCCTGGTCTGGGAAGATCCCACATGCTGCGGCGCAGCTAAGCACACACCCTATTGAGCCAGGGTGCTGCAGCTACTAAAGCCCACATGCCCTGAAGCCTGTGCTCGGCACAAGAGGAGCCGCCACAATGAGACGTGATCGCAACTAGAGAGTAGCCCCCACTTGCTGCAACTAGAGAAGCCTGCATGCAGCAACAAAGACCCAGCACAGCCAAAAATAAACAAATAAAATCTAAAAAATAATAGGGATGCAGCCTGGGCATCCAGAGTCATTAAATTTCCCAGGTGATTCTAATATGTCTAATATGCAGACGAGTTTGAGAACCACTGTTCTAGGTTTGGGGCTTCCCAGGTGGCTCAGCAGTAAAGAATCTGCAATGCAGGAGATGCAGTTTCCATCCCTGGGTCGGGAAGATCCCCGGGAGAAGGAAATGGCAACCCACTCCAGTGTTCTTGCCTGGGAAACCCCCATGGACAGAGGAGCCTGGTGGCCTTCAGTTCATGGGGTCACAGAGAGTCGGTCACAGCTGAGCAGCCACACAGCAATTCGAGGTTTAACAAGTTGGGTTGGTAGCTGGATCTGCCCCCTTCCAGCTACTTTCTACCACAGTGGTTCTCAAAGTATGCTCCTTGGACTAGCATAAGCGTCACCTGGAACTTTTCAGAAATGTCATTTTCAGGCCACACCTCAGACCCACTGAATCAGCAATTGTGGGATTGGGGAGCAGCAGTCTGTGTCGTAACAAGCCCCCCCGGGTGACTTGGATATACCCTAAAGTCAGAGACGCACTGGTATGTTATCACTGTTGTAGCTTGAGGGGCCTGTTGCCATTCCCCTAGAGACCAGCCAGAGCAGGAAGCAAGGACTTCATTCTTTTGCATTTGGGGCAATACCAAATTCTTGATTTCCTGATGAGTGATGCCAAAATTCTTAGTGTGACTGAGTTTTTATATAGCTTATGAAGCTTTTGCTGGCTGGAAACTGGCAGCATTAAATTGGAGAGTCAGTTACAGGCTGCAGCTGCAATCTTGGTCAAAGTTACAAGCAGGGAAGAGGTAACAGAGGGAAGGCAAATGAATGCAATTATTGGCCCCTCCTATCTGGGCTGTGAAAGAGGAGCATGAAATAGGAGGGGAAGGAGGAAAGGCAAGGGTCCGTGCCAGGTGAGACCAGAGGGCCTTGGTCTGGGAGATTCTTTCTCGGGTGCTAATGTCCTTCAAGTTTGTTATAAGTGCAAATGAAATCTATTTTTCTCTTTATAGGGACCTGCTTTCTTGCTGAGGGAAGGAGCTAGTGTGTGCTGTGTTAAAAGCTGAAAGAAAATCTCCCTGATCACTTCAGAGCCAGGCAGAGTAACAAAACATGCAAGCAACTTATACAAAGGTGTCTTAATGTGGTTGACAAAGGGACTCCTTTGCTTGCCCCCGTAAAACCAGTTTACTCTAATTCATTTTGTCCTGGGATTAGACGTTGTGAATACTGAGGTGAATATGGCATAGAACCTGCCTTCAAGTAGATCACACTTGAGAGGAGAGGTGAGGAAGTACATTTTTGCACCTTGTGTTGACTGCTGTGTGAATGAGGTACAGTCAGAATTCAGAGCGGGGAAGGACTAATTCTGGATGGCGGTGGAGGTGAGGTATCAGGGAAGACCTCACGGAAGCAGACCCTGAAGCTGGATTTTGGAGGGTGAATAGGTTGGCGGTCAAGATGGGCAGAGGGTTTTCAGCAGGAACAAGGGCCCAGCAGGGTGAAGCAGCAGTCTGATTATTGTGAACTACTGGTAATCAGGGTCGTTATCGATAAATCATGAGATGGGAAGCGGTGAGGGGCGCCACTGTAGGGTTGAGCAGGGCTGAGGACCTTTTTAGGCTATCAGCTTAAGGAACTTGATCACACTGATCTGTAGCTGGCAAACCTTGCTGATCACCAGAATTACCTGGGCAACTTCGAAATAATGCCTGCGTCCCACCTCCAGGGGATCACACTGAGTAGGTCTGGGTGTCTCCCCAGGTGAACAGGAAGAGAAAGGCTAACCAGCAGAAAAGAAGCTTGGAAAAGCAAAACAGCGGGAGTAGCGGTACTGAAAAGCAAAGTGGAGAATTAGTCCAGTAGATTGTGTGGTGACTAGGTTTCTACCCCGCTCGTTTTCTCCCCTACTTTAAAAAGAAATCTTTGGGCTTTCGAGACTGGCTTTTGTACAATCTTTACTCAATGACTGCTTGTTGCAGAACATCTGCTGATGTGCACTGGGGCATTAAGCGTGTTCCTAATACCGATCTGGGTTTGGCAGGAGCCCCATCTGTGTGTAAAGTTTATTTGGCTCTATACGCGTCATCTCAAGTAGTCACAGTAATGGTAACAAATGAGGCATGTTAGGATTTATTGTTACAGTACATACTTATTAATATTGTTTCTCCAAAAATTGATAAAAAATGCATGTTTAAATTTACTTTGCATGTAAAACAAAACTAACAGGGATGAGTTCCTCTGAGTGAAGACAAGACTGGTCAAGACTGAACTACAAGCACTAATAGAGAGTGCCTACTACAAATAAGCAAATCAGCAAAGGAGCTTAAAGCAGAGTGAGTCCTTGGGCCAGAAATCATGATTTGTTGGAAGTTCTGTTTGGAAGCACTAGATGGTGAAGCACAGCCTTTCACTGCCTTGGGGAAGAGTCAATCACAGAGTTTCCCAGGTGTCTTGTTTGGATCCAAACAGTTGATATTTGAGCTTTCCATCCACTATGAAAGTATAACACACATGATAGTAGTCCCCCCTCCAGAGTAAATGTTCTATATGTTGTGTGCTGACCTGTATGAAATGAATGATACAAGTAACGATAGGTTCTCATTGTTAAATTTTTTTATGTCACAATGTGGTGGATTATATTTTCCAGTGATGGCAAGCATCAACGCCTCCCACATGCACTTTTAACATGATGACTTGGACACTGCCCATTGAAAGTTGGGGGTCTACATTCCTTTTATGGGTTAAATTGTTTCTTCAAAGATTCATATGTTGAGGTCCTGACCTGCAGTATTTCAGAACATGCCTTTATTTGGAGATAGGGCCTAGAGGTTGTCAAGTTCAAATGAAGTCATTAGGAGGAACCCTTGTTGTTCAGTCACTGAGTCCTGTCCGACTCTTTGTGACCCCATGGACTGCAGCATGCCAGGCTTCCCTGTCCTTTACCGTCTCCCAGAGTTTGCTCAAACTCTTGTCTCCCTCATCCAGTATAAAGGGGGGAAATTTGGGCACAGAGGCATAGTGAGGTGAAGAGACAGAGAAGATGGTCGTCTGTAAGCCAAGGAGAGTGGCCTGGAACAGATCCCTCTCTCACAACCCTCAGAAGGAATTAGTTCTGCCAACAATTTGATTTTGGACATCTAACTTCCAGAATGATGAGACAACTGTTTAAGCCACCCAGTCTGTGGAACTTTGTTATGGCAGCTGAATAAACTAATGCAGTTCCCTCCCCTTGAATCTGGGGGAGTTATGACTACTATGGAAGTATCACATGTGACTTTTCAGGCTAGCTTCTAAAAGGCAATGTAGCTTCCACTTGCTCTTTCAGGAGACTGGTCACCTATGCTGTGAGGAGGCCCAGGCCTCCTGAAAAGGTCACTTGCTGGTATTCTAGCTGACAGTCGCAGGTGACAGCTCCCATCAACTGCTGAGGCATAAATAAAGACACTTCCAGACAATTCCTGTCCACAGCCCTGAGTCACCCGAGGCTTCAAGTCCTCCTAGCGGAGCCCCCACATAATGCAAATATATCAACCCTTCTGTGCTCCTTGGGAATTCCTGATTCACAGAAGTTGTCAGCATAATAATCAGTTGTTTCAAGTCTAAATTTAGAAATATATTTTGTTACTTAGGTGGCAATGTCTTTGTTTCAAATTTTTACTTTGCCTGACTGGTCTTTTTGCTAAGACCACCAGGTACCTTAGCTCCTAGACAATGGTCTTCACCTCTCTTTGCCCTTTGTGACATTAGGCTCAGACTTCAGTTAGGAACAATTGGTGACCCTGCCTCAAGTCAATTTAATAGACTTAATGAATGAATTTCAGACAAACTGAACAGGATAGGGAACAGTGGCTCAGAGGCAAGGGTAGGAATTTCAGAACAACTTCTGAGATGATTACAAGTTCCTTAGCAAGGTTAGTGCACTTTGCCTGAAGCAGGGGAGGAATCTTGGAGGCACATAAAGCAGTACTTTCCTCATTTGGGACAGAGTCCAGGAAAAAAAAAAAAAAAGCAAAAATGCCTACTTGTCAGGGGGGTGTGATGGAGGAGTGTAATAAGTATTGGCTAGAAAGAAAGAACTGGGAAGCAGATTGTGGCAGGATCTTAAATCTGAACCAAACTCCAGAGCACTGCCAATATGATTCCCCCACAAGTTCAGTGTCTGAATCCCTCATGAGCAGAGTTAGGAAAGAAGACATGGACCCATCTGTGCTGAGAAGCTGTGTTCATCAGGCTCTTAAGTATGTTTAATACTTTAAGGAGAATGTAATCTGTAATCTGCCCCCAATTATTCCCTAGTTCATTCTTCCTTTTGGTTTTTGCTTTGCCTTTCCTTGCTTTTTAACAGAATTCATTTAGAAAAGTTTCAATTTTTGCCAGGGATGGGGGAATTAAAAAAAAAAAAAGCTTTATTGAGGAATAATCATACAATACACTACATGTATTTGAAGTGTAGAATCTGATAAGTCTTGACATATGTACATAGCGGTGGAATCATCATCATAATCAAGACAGTGAGCATATTCATCAGTTCCAAAACTTTCCTTGACCTTTAAACCTCTCTCTGTCATTTCTAACCAGACTACAGGGGATGAGGGAATTTTGACCCCCACCTGTCAGCCTTGTTTGAGAGGCATATTGCCCCTAGTGGCAGGGGGTGGGTAATGACCACCATGCTTGCTGGAAACCTCTCCCTGATAAGGAGAAAAGTGAAAATTAAGACTGTACAAGTGGAATGAGGGTGTGTGTGTGTGTGTGTGTGTGTGTGTGTGTGTATGGGTTTCTTACCGGCCCTTTCTGGATTACCCTGAAAGACCTTATGAATTGCCTTGTTATCTGAGGACTTCTTGAGTATAGTTTCTCTATGCTAGTTCACTGATAGGTATTGTGCAGGAGACAAAAGGAAGATTTCCAAGTTCACCAGTGGTGTTAAGAAGTGAGAGGAACCACTTCATACTCATTAGAATGACTACTTCAAAAGATGGAAAAACAGAAAACAAGTGTTGGTGAGCTTGCGGAAAAACTGAAACACTTGGGAATATATAATAGGATGCAGCCACTATAGAATACAGTATGGTAATGCCTTAAAAATAATGTTCCTGTATAATCCAGCAATTCCACTTCTGAGTATATTTCCCAAAGAATTGAAAGCAAAGGCTCAAAGATATATTTGTATACCTATGCTCGTAGCAGCATTATTCATAATACCCAAAAACTGGAAGCAACCTAGTATCCATCCACGGATGACTGGATAAACAAAATGTGGTCTGTATATCCAATGGAACATTTTTTTTCAGCCTATCAGGAAATCTTGATACATGTTACAACATGAATGAATCTTGAAGACATGCTAAGTGAAAAAAAAGACAAACATAAAGGATAACTATTATATGATTCCATTTATATGAGGTACCTGAGAACAGTCAAGTACATGGAGAAAGTATAACTGTGGTTACCAGAGGTTGAGGAGAAGGAGAAAAGGGATCTACTCTTTAATGGGTTCAGAGTTTTGCAAGATGCATAGATTTCTGTGGATGGATGGTGGCACAACAATGTGAATATATCTAGTGCACCGAATAGCACACTTAGAAACAGCTAGGATGGTAAATTTTTTTTTAAATTTTTATTCGATTAATCAATTAATTAATTTTTTTTTTTTTTTTTGCTACGCTTGGCCTTCATTGCTGTGCATGGGCTTTCTCTAGTCATGGCTCACAGGCTCTGGAGTGCTGGCTCAGTATTGATAGCGCACCAGTTTTGTTGCTCCATGGCATGTGGGATCTTCCCGGACCAGGGATTGAACCAGAGTCCCCTGCATTGGCAGGCAGATTCTTAACCACTGGACCACCAGGGAAGTCTGGATGGTAAATTTTATGTGTATTTTACTGTAATAATAAAGGAAGCTAGAGGAAATAGAAAATTCTGTGTGGAATTTTTGGCCTGATTAGAGGTTAAGGTGAACATGCTTCACAATTTTTTCCCCATTAAAACAGATGTGTGTATAACGGGGAACCTCAGCCACACTCACGACACTTTCTTTCTTATGTCAAGCAGTCATGCTTCAGTGTCCTGTAATTTTTTTTTAATTATCTTTTTACACATATAAAATATATCACAATATAAAATTCAGAAAGTATAAATGTTTGTTTATTTAACAAATACTTTCGAGGCACTTAGTCTATGCCTGGTCCTGTTTTATTACTGGGGTTACAGCAATAAGCAAAACAAAAAACAAAAAAACCTGGTATAATTCCTCCCTCCACGGAGCTCACATTCCTGTGGGGGGAATGTTTGGATGCAGCACTTATTTTTTTTTTTTTCCAATGAAGCACTTTTTATATAAATGATGATTTTCTTGGAATTGATTCCTAGAAGTACAATCACTGAGCCAAACAATATAAACATTTTAAGGTGCCTACTCTATCTTGCCAAATGCCTTTCAGTCCCATCAGCAAATCATAGGAGTATCCCTTTCTTCACACCTTACCATCCTTAGCTATCTTTTCCCACTTTGCAAAGGAAGATAAAAGGGAAGTTTTCCAAGCTCAAATTGTTAAGCATGTTCACTTTAACCTTCTGATCAGTTCAAAAATTCCACACAGAATTTTTTCTTTTTTGTCACTTCTTTTGCTGGAATCAAGATTGCCAGGAGAAATATCAATAACTTCAGATATGCAGATGACACCACCCTTATGGCAGAAAGAGAAAAACTAAAGAGCCTCTTGATGAAAGTGAAAGAGGAGAGTGAAAAAGTTGGCTTAAAACACAACATTCAGAAAACTAAGATCATGGCATCTGGTTCCATCACTTCATGGCAAATAGATGGGGAAACAATGGAAACAGTGACTGACTTTATTTTTGGGGGCTCCAAAATCACTGCAGATGGTGACTGCAGCCATAAAATTAAAAGATGCTTACTCCTTGGAAGAAAAGTTATGACCAACCTAGATAGCATATTAAAAAGCAGAGACATTACTTTGCCAACAAAGGTCCATCTAGTCAAACCTATGGTTTTTCCAGAAGTCATGTATGGATGTGAGAGTTGGACTATAAAGAAAGCTGAGCACTGAAGAATTGATGCTTTTGAATTATGGTGTTCTTGGACTGCAAGGAGATTCAACCAGTCCATCCTAAAGGAAATCAGTCCTGAATATTCATTGGAAGGACTGATGCTGAAGCTGAAACTCCAATACTTTGGCCACCTGATGTGAAGAACTGACTCATTTGAAAAGACCCTGATGCTGGGAAAGATTGAAGGTGGGAGGAGAAGGAGATGACAGAGGATGAGATGGTTGGATGGCATCACCAACTCAATGCACATGAGTTTGAGTAAACTCCGGGAGTTGGTGATGGACAGGGAGGCCTGGCGTGCTGCAGTCCGTGTGGTCACAAAGAGTTGAACACAACTGAGCAACTGAACTGAACTGTCACTTCTTTTATTACTATAAAAAAATGCACATAAAATTTACCATCCTATTTTTGTCCTCTGTCCCCTATTTGTGTCCACTGGTCAGA